CACTGGGTTCGATCCTCAGCACCAAATAAAAATAAATAAATAAATAGTTAAAGAAAACAAGAAAAAAGTGCCAATTAGGCAATATCTGTCAAAATTCAATATTTTTGAACCTATACTTTCTACTGACCTTATCCTATACCAAAAACATAGGTGTAAGGATATTTAGGGAAGTATTTTTTGTTCATTTGTTTGCTTGTTTCTTTGGAACCAGGGATTGAACTCAGGGATGCTTAATCACTGAACCACATCCCCAACCCTTTTATTTTTTCTTTTGAGACTGGGTCTTGTTAAGTTGCGCAGGGCCTTACTAAATTGCTGAGGCTGGCTTTGAACTTGCAATCCTCTTGCTTCAGCTTCCGGAGCTGCTAGGATTACAGGTGTGCACCACCGCACCCAGCTATGGAAGCATTTTTTTTTTTGATGGGAGGGGTTATGAGAATTGAACTCTGGGGCACTCAACCATTGAGTCACATCCCCAGCCCTTTTTTGTATTTTATTTAGAGACGGAGTCTCACTGAGTTGCTTAGTGCCTTGCATTTGCTGAGCCTGGCTTTCAACTCCTGATCCTCCTGTCTCAGCCTCCTGAGCCACAGGAATTACAGAAGTGCATCATGTGCCCAGCAAGGGAAGCATTTTTGAGCAGAAATATTTAAAACTAGGAAAATGTGTCATTCATTAGACACATTCTATTAAGCATTATTCTAATTACCAGATAATAAAATTCCTACTCTTATAGGGATTTACTTTTTTTTTAAGTTGTACACACTATACCTTTATTTTGTTTGTTTGTTTGTTTATTTGTTTATTTTTTAATGTGGTACTGGGGATCAAGCCCAGTGCCTCACACATGCTAGACAAGTACTCTACCTCTGAACCCCAGTCCCAGCCCCTAGGGATTTACTTTTTAATTCCATCAAAGGAAGATGGAATGAATAATTTATAATAACACTGGCAACGAATATTATGCCTTCATCAAAATGAATAAAGTTTGTCAATAGATACTGCTTTGAAAAAAATATTCAGTTTTTTTAACTTTGGAAGCTTTTGTATGAGTTAAATTGAATTACAAAAGCAAGAAGTTATAAAACTATGTGCAATATTGTCTTATTTGTATACAAAAGTTATACACACAAAAAAAAGTTTACA